TCCAAACTGAAAGCCTGCCTTAGAATTCTTTAAATCTTTATTATTCTACATGTGATAAGTTAATTTAACCAAACATATTTAAAGGCAGGGGTTAGCTAATTTATTTATTTTTTTAAATAAAGATTGACTTTGTCAAGACACTCTGGTAAAAAAAAAAAAAAAAGACCTTAATGGAAGATCTCTGTGAGTGAGATCCCATGGAAAGAACGGGCCATCAAAGGAGGTAACTTTCTCTGAAGGGAGAAGAGAACTTCCACTTTGACTATGACCTTGCCTAAATAAGATCAGAGTTGGCGAACTCAAAAGGCTTCCATAGCCTTGGCAACTCACGATAAGAGCCTAGGGAGATTACTGATGCTATAAACAAGAGGAGTCAGTGTGCACTTACTCCCCATGTAGGATCTCTGTCCTTAATGTGTTGTACACTGTGAATTAATGCTATAGCTAGTACTCAAACAGTATTTTACACTTTATGTTTCTGTGTGGGTGCAAACTGTTGAAATCTTAAAATAATATATGCTAAACTGATCTTCTGCATATAAAGAGAATTGAAAATGAATCTTGATGTGAATGGAAGGGGAGAGGGAGCAGGAGATGGGAGGGTTGCGGGTGGGAGAGAGGTTATGGGGGAAAAAGCCATTGTAATCCATTAGCTGTACTTTGGAAATTTATATTTATTAAATAAAAGTCAAAAAAGATTGTAAATAAAATTAATTGAAAGTTGCCTTTTTAAAAAGTTAATTTCAATTGCTTATTTTACTTTTACTTTTAGGCAAAAATGTTCAGTGTACAAAGAACTACTTGCTTTAATTTGAATTGTTACATAGCAAAAAAACACCATCAGTCTCCTTCCTGAATTACCACTTCACAAGACAGTTGAATGTTAGGTTTCTGGGATCAGTGTTGTGGCATAGTGGCTAAATCCCTCATCTGCTTTGCCAGCATCCCATATGGCCGCCTGTTAGTGTCCCAGCTGCTCCACTTATAGTCTAGCTCCCTGCCAGTGGCCTAGGAAAGGCAGTGGAAGATGACCCAAGTGTTTGAACACCTGCCACTCACATGGAAGACCCAGATGAAGCTCCTGACACCTGTTTCTCCCTCTCTGTAACTCTTTCAAATAAATAAGTATGACAAAAAGCATCCTGTTCTATTGGTCTCAGATTTAAATGCCCCTGCACCAACTATCGTCTATGAAGCCTTGAGACATTTATTTGCTTTCTTTGTGCCACAGTTACCTAATTTGTAAAAACCTAAACCAAATATCATGTTTTTAAAAGACGTATTTATTTGAAAGACAGAGTGACAGAGAGAGAAAGAGAGAGATCTTCCATCTGGTGGCTAACTCCTCAAATGTTTGCAACAGCCAGGATTGGGCCAGATGGAAGCCTAGAGCCAGGAACTCTATTCTGGTCTGCCACATGGATGGTTGGATAGATGGGAAGAGCCCAAGCACTTGGAGCATTATCTGTTGCCTTCCCAGGCACCTTAGCCAGAAGGTGAGTTGGAAGCAAAACAGCAAGGACTTAAATCATAACTCTGATATGTGATGCTGGCATCTCAAGTGGCCCTCATAGATTTATATATAATAACATATAATGTATGTAGCTTCTTTAGCATACCCTATCATAGAGGAGGTGCTTGATAAATGCTTTAGTTGTTAGTGTGACTTTTTATGGTTTCCTACCTTCATTCTGTTTTTCATGATATTAAAATATAGGCACATGGGTAGTCAAAAAATGATAGAACAAAGAGGAACAAGGAACCTATTTTTTTGCAAATGTAGCATATTTTGCATATATTGTGGTTGACAAATACACATGTAAAATCAAAAATGAACAAATTGCCTTTTAGAAGTGGTAAATAAGCAAGTGCAGAAAGTAAACAAATTCATGATAGACTGATTAATCAATGGAGAACTAAGCTGGCAGCATCTAAATTTCATTTCAAGTAGAAAACGTTGAAACATTCTCATAAAAATAGGAAATATTTAGGAACCCATATAGAATACAATATATGAACACTCTTGATTTATGTTTATAGGTATTGTCTACATGAGTTAGGATTTAAAATACGTTCACTGAGCATAAGAAAAATAAGAGAAAACGAAAGAGTGAAATATGGAGAGTGATTTCTTTTTTTGCATTGAGAACTTAACTCTTATATCCAGCAAGTATATCTAACCCACCTGGATATATGAACATGTAGACATGTTCTCTATTAACCAAAGTGTATTCTTTAAAGTGGAATGTTTCCTATTTTATTCTTTCTTAAATTTAATTATAAATAAAAGCAATCTACTTCAAAAAGAAGGCAAGGAGGATGACGAGTCTCCTGGCCGTAGGTTGTTCTAACACTCTCTGCCTGGGTGGATACCTGTGGAAATGTTTGTATTATTAGATATATCTCTCCCTGTAGGTCTATAATCAACTGTGATTCAAATTCACATTAAGGCATATAGTTTTCACCATCAGAACAATTTAAAATTCAATAGAACAAATATCCTTTATTCTGAACTGATCAATGTATTAGAAGAAACTGCAGTATTGTTTATAACAACCAAGTAAACAAAAATCCATGGAATTTGTACCTTGTATACCATATTTTTTAGAAAGCTTTTATTTAATAAATATAAATTTCATAGGTACAGCTTTAGGAATACCGTGGTTCTTCCCCCCCATACCCACCCTCATACTGCCATCACTAAGTTTCTATTATAATTTTAAGTAGATTTTTATTACTATGCATTTGTTATAATTATAAGCTGATTGACTTTTCTAAAGAAATAAGTACCAGGACTAAGTACTAATAGCCCAAAATCATTGTTTTTAAAATTAATTATGTTTACTGTTTTACTTCAGTCTTGTTTCATTTTATTTCCTTTCCACATGCTTTCATACTGGCTCTTATCTCCTGACGTAGTGGTCAGCATTAATCTTCTCTTCCAACAGAATTATAAGTAGGTTTGTTTAGAGTCAACATCAGACATCCAATAGCATCTTGTTAGCAAGAGCTTTGACATGTGCTATGACTGTTGTGATTTGCCAAAAGTATATATTAGGGAAGTAGGTATCTATTTTCAAAATAACAGGAGTATTTTGTGGTACATAAAAGTATTTTTTCAATGTATTTGTCACATTTTAAAAAGTTATCCAAATTCACTCAATCCAGAATTTTTGATATTGTAGCAACAGCAACATGAGAAAATACCAAAATCATATATATAAATTATATATCTTATATATATAACTGTGTAATCTTTAAACATATTTTTATTTCTCTTTTTTTTTGAGTCATTTTTATAGCTATATTCTTTAAAAGAAAATAAATCAAATGTTTCTCTCAAAACAAAAAAGAAAAAAAAAAAAGGATGGTGCAGGTGTTTGGTTTGGTGCAAAAGTTAGGATACCACTTGATAGGACTGCAATACATATGAGAATGTGTGGGTTTGCAAGCCAGGTCTTCTTCCTGGTTCAGCTTCCTGCTAATGTGGACCCTAAGAAGCAGTAGGCAAAGGCTTGAGTGCTGGGATCCCAGCCTCCCACATGGGAGACGCAGATTGAGTTTCTGACTCCTGGCTTTGGATTAGCTCATCCCTGGCTTTTGCTGGCATTGGGGGAATAAACTAGTGCATGGAAGATCTCTCTTTCTCTGCCTTTCAAGTAAATGAAAGTAAATATTTAAAAAAATACTTATTGTGTGACATCCAGTGTAACCAAATTTAGGACTACACAACCACTCAAGATTTCCTTTGATAGCCTTTAAAAAACCACAAATAACAGAAACAAACAAAATGTAAATTAAATTTTACAGTTAAAAGTTTCCAATGAGATTTTATTGGAAATGTGATTATTTTATACAGTGTATAAAATTGATATTTCTATTACTTGATGAAACAGAAAATTAAGTAAGGGATTTCAAAATTTATCTTAATTTAACAACAATTACAATGGTAGTAATCACTGATAGAAAGCAATAATTTGATCAGTAAGCCATTTAAGAAATTCAGAATTCATAAACATTTATGGTAAAGTGAGATAAATGAGCAAATCCTTGTATGTGATCTGTTAATTGTGTTTTATGGTGGGAATCAACCTCAGTCATCCAACCTATTCTGTATGTCAGTTGTCTGGTCCTGAGTTCCTTTGTCTGCATATGAAAATGACTGGGTGAGGTGAACCTTAAGACTCTCTGCATCGACAAGTTTCAATCTAGGGCTACCTCCTTAAGACTGACTGATGTTCTGTGGAAGGTGTTTCCTAGTACACAATATAAGAATAAAACAATGACTTGAAAAGACCTTTAGGTTTAGAGTTTGCTGGACATAATTGGAAGATATTCTGTGGAAACATGTTGTTCTTTCCATATCCTATTTATTAGTTTTGATCTGTTAAAATATTTCATCTGATCATATTATATGATAATAATAGAGGCACATGCTCTGCTCTTGGTGAAATAGTCCAGCAGATGCAAGTTTGGTAATTTAACTACAAATATCCATTTTCAAATATGGTCTTCATTCAGAGATATGGAAGTGCTGGATCTGCACTAATATTCATTCCTAAAAATTTGACAGTTTAATATTATAAACTAATGATTATAGGTGAGTTATAGGTAAATGGTAGGTGGATAGATAGACACATATATAAGAAGATAGATAGATATAAAGCTTATCGAAAACATGTTTAATTGTGTTCTGTTGAAAATATAATCAGGAAGCAGAAATCAAGGCAGCACTTGGATCTAACTTGCACTCACAAGACAGCAAACACTTCAAACATAAATCTAGCTCTGTCGGCATCTACTGAAAGCAGTAGAAACTCTTGGGTTTTTAATTTCTAGAGATCTTAAAGAACCTCATAAGGTACACCCTTTGCTGAGTGCTCCCCATCTGCTTCTTCCCAGAAGACTTAAATATAGTAACTTTTTTAATGAATGATTTATTTAGCTTACAAGCCTTTCATCTCCACTTTTTTTTTCCCTCCCTGCCCCTTTCCATCTAGTATACAGTATGGACTGCCCTATGGGTCACCTGGAATGTGTTCATTATCTGCTTTTACTTGGAAGTGGGTGGCCTCTCTAAGGTGAGTTTATCACGCTTTTTAATCTTTGCAAAGAATTGAGCTACAAATTAACTTCTGTGACTATGTGTATTATTGTTGTTGTTGTTGTTGTTGTTATACAAGTAGAGTAATCTTAGTATTATTACAAATGAAATGCTAATCAGAAAAGAACCTGGATATTGTTCAGAAAATAATGATCCTGGGAGCAGGTTAATTACATGGAACCTCACAACAATTGCTTCAAGTTTTATTTCACCAGGCAGAAGGAGGACTCACTTCCAATGTCTGTTTCAAAAAAGACAGTGTCACAGTAAACACAGCCCCAAATGTTAAGTGAAAAATAGTATTAAGCATTCCTGTGCTTAAATAAAAACAAAAATTATCTAAAATGTTAATGTAACAAACACACATAGCAAGTTACTATCTTTGCTGGAATATTAACTGAAAAAGAAAAGTTTGATAAAGATTGAAATTCTCATATATGTAAGTGGAGCATACATTTACTAAGAAACAAATGCATCAGTGTGATGACCACGTTTTTGAAATCTTGATCAGACAGAATGCAGTTGACTTAATGAGGCATACGATACACGTTATGTCTGTCTCAAACTGTCAGCTGACTGCAGGATTTTCATTTATGTCTCCTGCAAAATGTCTTTTGACTGCCAACCAAATGAAAGAGCAACTTGCATTACGTCTCTAGCTGTGTTTCTTAAACATTTTCTTTGTGAGCCAGCACATTTTCGCTGTAGAGGAGAAACTCAATTTATAATTGCAAGAAGTATAAGAATGCTGTCATCATTTTGAGGGGAGAGAATTTCTCATTATCAGCTAGAGTTGTGATAACCGTTATGTTGTTTTGAGTCTCAAATTGTCTAAGCAGCATAATGTTTTCCTGTTAGATCTTAGAAATCGACCCTGACCAGCACAGATGCTTTTAGAATTGTTAGGCTTCACTGAAGCCTGGGCGGTATCAGCATGTTTGATTCAGCCCTGCAGAAAAAGTTGGTGAAAGTTTTTTTCCAGAACCTTTCGGGTGGTGACACTTTTTTCCTACATTATAATGACTTCATAATTAGAACTTTTCATCATTTTCTCACAAGGGTGAATGGACTCAGGAACCAGAAATGATATTTCCAATACTGAGTTTCATACATTTGTGCTAGCATCTATCTTGAATATTGTGCTATGGATGGCATTGCACTACTAATTTCTAAGACAGAAAAATATGTTAAATCTGCACCCAGTTATCTTCTATAAATGCATATTATGAGGTATTTTAAAGGGCAAATCTTAGGAGTAAAAAAATTAGCATTTTCAACCTATGCCATTTTGTATCTTATGATTTCAAAGGTCATTATAAATCCTCTTTTTATTTCAGTAGGTGGAAATTATCTTTTATTTTCTCCCATAAAAACTGATTTTGGATAAATGACTCCAAGGGAAGCTTGTCCAATGGAATTAGCTGAAAAAAATACTAAATTTTAAATCATAATTCTTTAGTTCAAATCATCTTTTGCACTTATCAACCACAGACCCTTTGGCAAATCACTGAACCCCAATGAGTCTCCGTGAATTATAATAACAGAACCAACTTTGCTAATAATTATAGTAGTTAATGGGTGTTGTATGGTTTTGGTACTTTTTACACACATTGTATGTGGTAATCCAGCTAAGCTTCAAAACAACTCTGAAATGATAATAAATAAAGAAATAAACAATAGCAGTCATTTAGTCCATGCAATTCTAATTTCCCATGGGATTCAAGGTTATTTTGTGATCTCTCCTTTTTAAGTATCAATGTGCATGTCAAAGGAATATTCCTCATTTCTTTGGGAATGACGTTAAAAAAAATGTCACTGTCCTGGTTACTCATTTTGTTACTCGTTCAAATGCCATTAAGCAGTCAACAAAGTATCCTAGGTCATTAAAAAGATAGATGATTCAATAAAAGGAATTTTAAAGATTTTCTGTTAGTCTCCTTGTATTTACTGCTTCAAACACTGGCAGCAACTCCCTGGTTAGCCACAGTTTAGCCTCATTCAAGTGTGTAGAAAATCTATTCCAAAAAATAGAGCAAAGTTAAGGACCCTTGACAAACAGAACTACCCTGTTGCCTTTCCAAGATGGATTGATTCCATTGTGTAAAAAATCTGATCTATATGTGCTAGTTTATAAACTAACTTTCTGGAAATCTCCATCTGCTTTATAAGCTGAAGGTATTTCTTGGAGTTATCCACTTGGAATGATTAATAGAAACTTCCTTTTGTCTTGATTTTTGCCTAAAATGTATAATCTGAAATAGTGAATCTTCTCCCAAAACTGGATTCAGAGTAATTTTGACAACATCTTTAAGAATTAGGGTGCTCTTCCAATGACAGACACATCCAATGAATTGTCAGTCTTTATTTTTGCTAAGACTTTGCATGTGTGGAGTGAAAACAGTCCCAGCTTACCTGAAAGGTGGTGAGCAGTCCCACAGGCAGGTGGGCATGAGAATTTCACAGTGCTTAAAAGATTAGCGATGTGTGTGTGCTCTTGCGCTTTACAAATACTTCATTTTAATTTCTAATAAGATAAATATTGATGAAGGTAATACACATAAGCAAAATCTCATTGGGATCCTCATTAACTTTTTAAGAGTATGAAAGAGTGCTGAGGCCAAAAAGTTTGAAAATCATTGTTGTAGACTGATAATATAACTAACTAACTAACTAAATAGTGCTGAATGTGAGGAACAAAAGCTGAAGTTACAAATTAAAATAAGCACATGGTCCAATACGTCAATAATTTTATGAAGCATAAATAAACTAAGCAATTTAATTAAAATTAGAGATTAGATCATTGGATTTTAAAAAGGAAACATCCAGTGCTATCTATATGAAATATATGTTAAAGTATTAATACATATGTACATTGAAATTTTAAGAAATGCATGCAATAAACAGGAAAACTTTTGTCACCATAATGATAACAGAAAACAAACTTCAGTCCAAAGGGTATTAACAGGCATAAAGAGAGATGTTTTTTAATAGTAACAGAATCGGTGTACCATATGGCGTAATCCTAAACCACACCAAATAGCAGAGTTTTATAACACATGAAGTCCAGTTTGGTAATACTAAAGACAAAAAAATTGACAGTTATGCAAACAAAAAGAGTTTAACATTGCTTGCTTAGGTTTTGATAGAAAAAGCAGATGAAATTCAGTATAGAGAAAAGATTTGAGCAATATAGTCAATAAACTTGTCTAACTGATGTGTGTAAGACATTACATTTAATCTGTATGTAGGAAATACATGAAATTTTTACACTTTGAATATTTTTTTAAAAAAATTCAAACCACCAAAGGTTAAAAAAATTAAATCTAAAAAAATGTATTCCTTTCAAGTGCATGTGAGCTTTTACCAAGAGTGTATTCTGGGCCATGAAAATGTTTCAATAAATGTTAAATGACTGACAACACAGAAAATATTCTCTACCAGAAGTAGAATAGTAATTTTAAATCTATTGCATTAAGATATCTAGAAAATCTATTACTAGTTGAAAATGAAAGCAGGCACTTTTAAATCTACAAATCAAAGAACAAAATTAAAAACAAAATTGAAAAATATTTTTGAAGTACATAATAAGGAAAACACAGCAAATTAATACTCATATTTGTAGATGAATTCAAACCAGTGTTTAGGAGAAAATATCTAATTTCAAATTGGCACTATAAAAGAAGAAAGCTTGAAAATGTTTATCTTCTTAGAATTGTACTTATGAAGGGGCCAGTGCCGTGGCTCACTTGGCTAATCCTCCGCCTGCCTCACCAGCACCCCGCATTCTAGTCCCGGTTGGGATGCCAGGTACTAGTCCCGGTTGCTCCTCTTCTAGTCCAGCTCTCTGCTGTGGCCCGGGAGGGCAGTGGAGCATGGCAGTGGAGGAAGCACCTGGCTCCTGGCTTCATGGTGGCCATTAGGGGAGTGAACCAATGGAAGGAAGACCTTTCTCTGTCTCTCTCACTGTCTGTAACTCTCTCTGTCTCTCTCTCTCTCTCTCTCACTGTCTAACACTGCCTGTCCAGAAAAAAAAAAAAAAGAATTGTAGTTATGAAATCAGTTTTATTTATATTAATAAAATTTTTAACAAGGGAAAAATCAATTATATTAATATATAAAGAGTAATTTAATTGCTTTCCCACATTAATTCATTGAAAGCATTAATACAACCACAGCTGACATTTTCAATATTGATAAAGAAAAATGAGACAGGAAGCTCAGTTTGGGACATATGGAAACTCTTTATATTGTATCACAATTTTTATTTTATAAATTTAAAACTATTCTGAAATAAAATGTTAAAAAAGATGAGACATATCTTTAGGTTTTAAAAACTTAAGAGACAATTAGAAAAGAATAAACAACTTTATTCCAATTTTGACAAATTTTTGTCAAAATGAAATGAAAAATACCTACAACAGAATAACTCCCCAAAACTAGTACAAACAGAAATAGAAAATAAGAGTAGTCATAAATGTATATGCTTTCAACAAACTAAACTTCAAGCCCAGATGGCTTCAGTGAGGAACCTATCAAGCATGTGAGGAAAGAACAATGTTAATCTTTCCCAAGCTCTTGCAGAAACTATAGGATGAAGGAACATTTCCCAAATAATTTCATGAACTAACACAATCCTGATACCACACTGTAGACAAGAGTTAGGCAAGGCCAGTGTCCATTGCAGTCCCTGGCCATCTCCCCAGGAAATTTCTTAATAGCCACACTGCCTATAGGGCATTCACATGATGACTTATTTGTTGCTATTTCACTTCTCTCTCACTCAGGCTACTTCTTACCATCAAAATTCCTCTTCCTTTATACAGAAAATCAAAGCAGCTCTCTCCCTTTGCCTTGTTGTTACCAATCTAAGCTCCGTGCAAGAATATTCACCCTACTTATCCACAAAGGTCATACCCAAATGTGTTCCTTAAATATAAGCCCAACCCTTTTCTGTATAGATGACAAATGCCACTCCAT